AGCGGTCACGTTTATGAGGTAAACATAGCGATCGCTTCCTGATCACCGTTCTTGACGATCCGAAAATCAAACTACCAGCGTGACATTGCCTCGAAGATGAAGCAGTTATGTTATTTGATTCGTACTTCACATTCGAGTCGAAGCTGGGGTGGCACAGGTCATTTCTTACGGTGGAATCGACGAGAGGAATTCGAGCACTAGTTGTAGTTTTTGAATTGTTGGAAGAATTGGTCGCATGGGGATGTAAGAATGGTAAGTTTAACGAACAATTTCAAATTTTGCTGCTTGAATTGAAAGTAAAGTTTATTTGAATTGCTTTCGTATGTATTTGTGACGGTCTTAGATCTACCTGCTTGATTTATATCTGCTACGCTTAATGTTGACGAATCCCTCAAAATGGCGGCCAAACTTGGAGATTGCCGAAAATTAGGTAAGTTCACGGAGTTATAAAGTTTTCGTAAAGGTCGGGCCGCAAAGTTTTTTTCTTTAGGTACCTTTTCTATGGCACCTACTTCCTAGCTATGTTAGTTGGATCAGTTAAGAACGCCTCACTTTTTCAAAAATTTACCTTGAATTTGATCGGTTTTGGCATGTGTGACTTAAGCGGACCGATACGGTGTCATTCAAGTCTTCCTGTTTCCTTGATTGAAACATGATGGTAACAAAAGTCGCCTCGATAGATAAGATAGAGTTAATATACATGGCTGGGCTATTTGTTTTTTGCTGAGTTCCGTAGTTTTTTGTAAATTGTCCTCCAAACTTGTCTCAAATTAAAGTCTTGAAAAGTGTCACGACAAGCCTTCGGTCGAGTGAAATTTAATTTCCGTAAAACTCTGAAAAATAAAGAGATCCGATCAAACGGATTGTGGTTTTAGTCTAGGTACATGAATGTCTTATAACACACAAGAAATTAGTGTCTCAAGCAAAATCGACCGGACCGCTCTTACAGAGACACCCTCTTAAAGGGTTAAACACTCCCTAATTATAGAGTGCCATATGTCTATAACTACGAACTGTTTGTACAAAAGTACAAGGTGTAACTTATAGCCATTTCTCTTTCTGACCTGACGTACAGCCAAAAATTTTGAAAATCCATGTCTACGACTCAGAAGATGCCGTTTTCGAATGAATGTGGTGGTTTGATATTGCGAAAGACTTTCTGCCTCACGATCCTTTTTATGACGTGACGACAAAAAGTGAAATTTTTTCACACTTGTACTTTCACCTTCAGAATGTTGATATATATTTTTGCAGCGTTATACGTTATTATTTGGAGGAAAGCAAAATATTCCTAATTTATTCTGTTTCAAGTGTAATCACTTCCTTTCCTCTCTTGCTCTTAAACTTTTGGTCATTTTACGGCTGACGGTTATTTTCTATCCGTAAAGGTTAATAGCAAAAAAATTTTGCAGTTAACTTTATTTTCGATTTAAGGTTAAGAATTTGTCAATTGCGCCTAACGGCCAATTTTTTGTAAGTCACGATAACCTCAAGTCAAGTCAAAATGTATCACGCTACCCACAGTCAGCATTGTACAATGGGAATGTCTTTGTTGGCAAACGTTTGAAACGCATTTGTAATACGGAAGAATGCAAGCTCGACCGAACTAAAGTGATCCCTTTAGAAAATTATCTGTTAAGCGAAGAAGGATAATTGTAGCCTCAAGTCATCTTGCGTGGTCAATAGTTCAACCACATTGTTGATCATGAGATGTCGCGACAAATTTTAATTAGAATTTTTTTTTCAGAACCGGCCATCTGGAAACGCGTGCTTAATGTTATGATAGTCTCATCACCTGCCCAATATCGGTCAAAAATGAAAGGTGAACTACATCTTTTCCAACTTTTCCCTCGAAGAGGCAAAGAAGACGTCATATGTTCAAACCTAGCGGTACAGCGGAGAAGTAAAAGGAAGCTTCATTGTAGCCAAAAGTTTCTTGTCAACGTCAGTAAACAATAGAGTCTTAGAAATTTGTGGTTTCTGCTATTGTTAGAAGATCAAAATGTGTTCGTTAACCTGTTATGAGATTTCTACCAAAGTGATGAAAATCCCGGATGGATATAAAACATTACATCCCATTCCCATAGCTGCACTTTTGATATGTCAAATTTCCCTTGTAGAGCTCTACGCGTGTTAGTCGCAAATGAACGAATGCAACAGACTCTTGTGTTTACAGTCATTTGACATGGCTGTCAAAATGCACACGACCTGCTAAGCTTAGACGGAGCAATCAATCGTAACAGCGCGTGGCAAAACAAAAGGATCGGAAACACATGTCTTCAATTCAAAGACGAAGATACTGTTGCAAGCAAAATGTTTTGACTATGTCTCTACTCAACCCGTTCTTTTAATATTTGTTGTACGGACGGTGACGTGAAGATAGTCTCACCTCTAAATCTATCACTTTTCGTTCCTTCCACACAATTGATAGGAAAACGTTTCTTGTGAAACGAATGCGTAATGCGAAAGAATAAGTCAACTAGCAGCAGCCATAATCTATCATCATGCTCAGTCAACCCAACATTATTTTTGGTTAGATCATAGTTTTTATGATATCATCAACATGCAGAATTAATTTGTGACCGTCATGCAAAAGCCGAAACAGTTGTCAAACCTCAAAAGGCTAAACATTTTTAATGCGTGGCTTGTCGTTTTTTTCTAAAACAAATCACTGCTAACTGAAAGATATCGAACGTTTTCTACGATCAATACTTTCAATGACCTACCCATTGAAAGTAACATCTTTGTACGCGCGCAGTTGTTGTCTAATGAAGATTATGTTTTGTTGAATTTCTGCATCACGTCCTTTATTATGACGTAACATAGTAAACGCGAGTGGTTTCACGTTTGCTTTCACTTAGAGTAACTGATGAACATCTGTGTAATCGTATGATATCAGTAGCCAGGAAGCCTGAAGGAAGGAAATAAATTCCTTAAATAATCATGTTCGGTTCCAAGAGTTTACACATAAAAAATTACTTTGTTTTCAATAGCAAAATTAATATTAGATTACTCTGAATTACTCGGACAGGCGTGATTTAAGAGAAGGAAGTCCAAAACGTCGGCAGTGATTTGGGGTGCTGCCATACTGACAAAGCAAGGTTAAAAATAGCCAGAAGCAGCTGTAAACCGGTTTGTGAGATTAACTGCTTGCTGGAACAAAATTAAGGGCCAAATTCGAAAGAAAAGATATTTTTAGAAAACACGAAAGACTGCGAATGTTCTAGAAATGCTCGTAATAAATGATCAGTTTGACAAAGTAAATTACATAATAACTGGTTTATTAAATTTAGCTTCTCACAGCATTATCCTCCACGATAGAGGTTTTTAGCGATAAGCTGGTCATTTCGATCTGATGATCAATCTGCGAAACGCATAATGCTATTTTTTTTTCGTCTGTAGAGCGAGTCCCTGACTATGCTAATGATTTGCAAAATAGAAATCGCAAATTACAGATTTTCATTTCATTTCGTTTCGTTTCACAAATTACAGTAAGCCCTTTATTAGTGCCATTTCACTCTTTATTAAATAAAACAGTTCATTTTCATAGTAACTGTCGTCTTCAAACCACTGTGAAGACGAATTCGAGTTTATTATTTACGTTTTAGCGATTCAGAACAGATATGCTCGCTTCGATAAATGATTTAAGATAATTAGGATAAGAGGCGTGAAATACAGGTCTTTGTATAGCTTTGGTGGTTTATAACATACACCGTTCACACCGGAAAAAGGAGATGTCTTGGTGTTGTTTTAGTGTTAAGTAGTATGAATGTTTTCAAAATAAACTTCGTAATTTTCAAAGTATTTAACTGAAACAAAATATGTAAATTTAACGCTGACCTGCTAAGCTGAGAGTTTCACTCGGAGCATGCAATTGTAACAGTGCGTAAAAAAACAAAAGGGATCGGAAATACACACGATTTAATTTGTAAGCAAACTTTTCTTGTGAAACGAACGTCTGATGCGGAAGAATAACTCAACTAATTATAGCCATAATCTATCGTCATACTAAGTCAACCCAAAATTTTTTGGTTAGATCATAGTTTTTGTGATATCATTAACAGAATCAATATGTAACAGTCACGCAAAAGCCAAAACAGCTGTCAAAGGCTCAAAAGGCTAAACATTTTTAATGCATGACTTGGCGGTTTTTTTTTGTTTTTATGTTTTTGTTTTGGAATAAACCACTACTAACTGAAATATAATAAGCGTTTCCTACGATCAATACTTGCAGCCACCCAACCATTGGAAGTAACATCTTGCTAACATCTTATTTCCTACGCTTGCGATTTAAAGTGCGTTCAATATTTTATCGCTATATCGGTGGATGTTTTCATGGAGGATTACTGACAATAAAGAACATGAGATGGTTCCAACTGAATGAGCCACCGAATTATCTATGAATAAAAGTGAAAATAAAGAAATATGTTTCCCTTTTTTGTCATGTAACGAGCGTAATGCCAAAATAAGAGTGTCTGAAAGAAATCGAACCTCAAACCTTCGGATTACGCGCTGCGAAGGTCAATCTCAGACAAACAGAGACTCTAAGGTGAGGAAGGCCAGTATTAGGTTGTAAAATTTGAGATTTCGAAACGAGTAAGTTATGTTAACTTAACATTGTTGTAAATTACATTTTCGATTTTTCTCCAATGTGAAATTTCAACATATTAACACTGACTAGCCTCGATATCTCGAAACGCGTAAGTTACAATTTTTGTTCATCTACGAATTCTGCTTTTTCTCCTTTGATAAAAGAATGAATCATCGAATTTCTGACAGCGCCTCTTTCCTTAAGATCTCTCGTACGCAGGCATCGATTTATTACAAGTTCTTGTTGGTCCTCAGCGACCCATTAGAAAAGTGTGTGTACAGTATTTGTTTCGCTTGCGGCCCTAGGAGTGTTCTGATGTCAATATCACGAATTCAGTCATCGCTAATGTATTACTGCTTACCTGAGCCGAACGTCACCAGAGTAATAAAGATCACAGAGAGAAGTAAAATGTTGTGACCCATAACTGTGCAGTACAGTGAAAATACCGCTTACTAAAACGGAAAATTTGAGAAGTGATCAACAACAAACATCTGCTGGAAAATCAGGTTTGCAGCAGTCAGCATATGCATATGCTGACTGTGCACAATGACTGTTCACATGCTGACTGTGCAAATTTGCTTCACAAATTAGGGAAAGCCCCACAAAAATTGTTTAACAACCGCGAAATGGCTATCAGCAAAATGCGCGCTTCGCCTTTGTTTCCATCATTCCAGATTTTCCTGAATCAAATATTGGAAAGTGAAGACTGAGGAGTTAACACGAAAACGAAAACGGCCTATCTCGTTTGTTTAGCTTGATGTTAGCGTCCAAAGTAAGAAAAAGAAACTTTTAGCATTAGTATTCTCAATAGTTTCTTGATCTTAAATTGGATTTAAGTTTTGATTTTTTTTTGCTTCTTTATTTTATACAGTATTTTTTAATTATTCATTGATAAGAATGTGCAATGTGGGACTGAGAGCTAAAATTTTTTTTCGCGATTTAAGCCCGGAAACGTTCTTAACATGTTCCCAAAGTTATGTGGTAAAGTATTCAATAAATCAATATTCGGACGTGAGTTAATTATCCTGTTAATTATCCAAAAATGATAATAACAATATTAATAATAATAACAATGAGCAAAATAAAGGCATTCTTAACTGACCCTAAGTGCGGGTATGATTATTAGCGCTTCACTCGGTTGCGCCTTGAATGCCAACTTTTGTATTCTTATCACATTTTGACGTCATTTGTGATCTGTGGCAAAACGGGATCTATATTTGTTTTATAACATAAACAAGCAAAAAATTTGGTACGGTAACGTGGATCATTTATCTAACAAGTCTTTAACAATTAGAGTTTCCTGTTAAATGTCCAAACAAAACCATCTTTTTTGCTAATAATTAAAATGACTAATAGAGGGTAAGAAAAGAACTAAAAAGCCGCTAAAAATTTGTATTGTCTTAAAGGTCTGTTTAATCTTTACGTAACAACTTGTAATGAAAATCTACGCTTGTGAACCCAAGGTGCCCAGGCCGTTCTGTTGGAGAAAAACTTAAACGTACGTTTCGTCGTTGATTCATGTAAACACATTTACGAACATTAGAGGGTTCTATATGGTTCAGTTATTAGCTAAAACAAAGCCCTCCCTTAATATGCAGTTTGCACGTAAACATATTTTTATTTGTCCCCTGAGGGACTAAGTCCTCAGTGATTTGCACATGTAAATATCAAAACCCTTTTTTGTTAGCGATTACAGCCCAGGCCATTTTGCTATTCGCCCACCCATCGTTGAAGTCGCATCTTATTGAGGTAAGCGTGGTGACTAATTTAAATTTCCTGAACTAGCCGCGTTGATTTCAAACTTGGCATCTTCATCTTCTAGCTGCACCTTGCAAGGACCAAAAAGAGAATACTTGTCTCATCCCATGCAACCGTAATGGTTTTCCGACACAATTTTTGAATTATATATAAACGCTCTCTCCCTCCCCTAAGAAAGAAACTCTGACACGCAACATAATTTCTAACTGATGCATTAAAGCAAGGCGTCTAGAACAACTTTGGGTCCTTTATGGGTTGGCCGGCTTGTAAAACGAAACTTATCCTGGGTTGGTTAACTTAATATTGATGTTTGAGGCCCTGTTAGAGAAAAATCACGAGTCTTCGATCCAAGTTGTGCCCCGCCAAAATTAATCTAATACAAATTACTCAAAAATTAAATCATGAAATAAATATCTGGCTAAAAACGGGGAGCAACCATGCGATATTAGGCCATTGAATTCCACCTTTTTGGTGGTCTTTGAGATACGAGGAATAACACAGAGGTACAATTGTACGCAATTAGAGACTTCAAAGAAGCCCTATAATCTATCGTTGCCAAAAATTCGGTACCGATATAAGCAGGGCTTTGTACTAGATATCAGGTAAATGGCTGTTAAAAGATAAAAGGAAGTGTCTTTTCATGGTTGTAAACGTGGTTTCTTTAGTAACTCTTGAATATATTTGTTGAGTGTGTGTTTAAATTTTCGTTAACATCAGTGACAAATTCTCAACAGAGATTAAGTGATAAGTTAATGAGATGTGACTTTTGTTCTTGGAGGGTGAAAAGGATCATAATTAACGCCGCTAGGAAAGAGGAGATTTGTTTATTTTGTTATTTTTTTTCTGCATATGGAAGAACGTAAGAGAGAAAAATCACTCCTTGCCAAGTATATCTGCCAAAGCACAAGCCACGCAGCGATTCAATAACCTAACGGCACTCTCCAACGTCACCAAAGTGTCGAGGGTTTTGGCCGAGAGCCTTTTGTTTGTGCGTTTAATATAAAAACTTTTCAACGCCCCAAAGTAATATTTGTCGTGCCAACCTTCGTAATGATTCATCCACTGCTTCGTAACCAACTTCAGTCCCCGAGAGATCACACGATGCCCGTTATCGGTTTTTCTTTTGGGTTCGATGATTTGTAAGGCCAAATTTGTTCCTACTCCCAAATGGAGGATATTAAATTTAACGCGTGATTCCCATCGTGTTTAGACTTTAAAAGCTTTTATTTTAACGGGGGACTCTTTCTTTGTCAGTCTCATGACAAAAACAAATAACATCTTTCTTCATTCATCGACCTAGGGAAAACTTTGTACTAGTTATCCATGATCCTACAATACCAGCTTGCAATGACATTTCTCAAACAGGAACTCAGTAATGACTAGTCAGCAATTAGTCAGCAGTTAAGCAGTTTAAGCAGTTAAGCAGTTTAGTCAGCAATTAAAATTGCTGACTAAAAAATTCTCTTTAGCGGAGTGGTAGACCATCACGTGAATTTCTTGAGTGTGGGGTTCGATTTTCTGTGAGTGCTCCGATTGCCAATCGGGTTCCTTATCCCTAAGCCTTACTCGAATGAGACCCAACAAAAAAACCTTTCGTTCTATAATTTTCACCCTTTCATTTTTCTCAGATTTTCTAATCGAACTACTTGCCTCCCAAATTTACCATGAAGATGTTTTGCTTTGTTACCCTGGCTCTACTAATAGCGTCTGTGGCATCGCGATCTCCATTTCACCGAATGGACGTAGACGGTAAGTCGTTACTAGTCGTGGCCTTGTGAGGGAAGGAAGACACTCTTCTGAATTTTTATTATTAGGAATGATGATTTTTTAGATAACAATTATGGGGTTCATTAAGTATACTTCTTCTGTTGAAGGACTGACCAAAAAATAAAAATACAGCCATTTTTATGACGGAAATTAAAATTTTCCTTTTTAGAATCTATTGATGATGGAATGGATCGTGATGAGGCGAACGGTGATGAAATGTTCCTCCTGGATCCAAAGTGTGACCAGCATTGTTTGAGTCGTTGCGATGGCAACTGTGCAGGATATTGTTGTGATAATTATTTTTCGTAAGTTTAAATTATTATTGTCGTCATTCTCATTGTTATTGTCTATGTTATTCTCACTATTGTCATCATCATTATTATTATTGTCATTACTTCTGCTGTGCAAAGAAAGTTCACATTATGAAACTCTGAAAACCGTGAGCATTTTGATTTGATACTGTCAGGTCAATTATGTATTGACCAATCACAAAAAAGATAAGGATAATCTGTTACTGATGGCGTTCTGGTTTTCTGACGCCTTACAAATTCGGGCTCTTTCGTTGAAATACGATTCCATTTCATAGAAACTTCTGGTGTTCATGGTTTTTAAGGCAATTACTGGAAATATAGATCCTTTATTTATGCATGATTTGGAAATATGGCACTTCTTAATGAATCAACGATAGGCAACCAAAGAAGCACTGGATGGTAAAAGTTTGTTTGTTACATCAGTGCACGTCTTCTTGAGAGTGACTAGAATTGCTGTTAAGAGCTATTTGCATTCTGCCACACAGAAAAATGAACAAGCTATTCACCGGCGCATAATCTTTATTTTTATGAAGCTGTCATGCAGCTTTCTAGTCACAAAAATGATTTTTATTCCCTTTCGCATCATATCGTTCAGATTTCTTCGATTGCATGATCCGTTGCACAACTTTGGTTTACTCTGAAACTGGCTCAAACTTAAACTATCCGTACTCAGAGATTGGAACGACCTCACTGATACACCAGTACACATTTGGTGGACTAGGACGACCACAGGCGAATGGTCGTGGACTCCAATCGGTCTGTGGGCCAAGCACAGATTCTGCCCTTGCCAATCACTAGAGGTGAACCCGTCATTCTTCGCCTTGAGTTTAAAGAACGTGTGCAACGTAGGCTCACTCGGCATCTGTCGTGTCGGGTTCTCGAAATTGAACTTCTTGTTAAGATCGTTGGAATTGCAAGGCAACACTTAAAAGCCGGAGGAAAGATCATTATTTCCAGGTTCAGTCAGGAAGAGGCATTTGCTGGTGTCATCTTTAGGCCAGAGGGTGCTGTCAGTGTTGAGTTTCCAAAGCCGGTTATGGTTGTTGGTACATGCTCGGGGATATGGGTTAGTTTCTGATTCTAATTTGGTCAAACACCTGCATTGCAACAAATATTGAAAATTTGGGTTCGTTTTTTTTTTTTTTCTTTCTTAATTAGTGTAAAAGGAAAAAATTTCTTTGGACAGAGCAACATGTTAACATGATTCTTGTTTCCTGGATTGTGTGTGGAAAAGAGGCAACCGCAAATGAAGTAATGAATTTCATCAGCTATCAGCAAACTTAATTCAATTAAACACGGATCTTTGAAAAGACCAACTAGCTGAACGTGGTATCCAGACACTTAGTTATTCGTAAAAGTAAAGGCTTACTTCTTTGTTTACTTCTGTTGCTGTTGTTTTTCACCCTCTGGACTTATGAAACAAAGTCACTTAATTTCGTTCCCCTCTAGAAAAAAAAAATTTTCCCTCGTGCTTCAATTAATTCTCGAATGTGTCTCCTCTATCTTTTCTGGAAAGCTATCATGACTACGGAAACGTGACAAATTTTAACTTGGAAGATTGCCATGTCTTTTTGTTGTCATAGATACCAAGGGAAGGTTACCATTTGCATTTCCTGTACCTGAAGCTTTTGTGCCCACTGATTTTAAAGTGTCGGTAAATCTCATCGAAAAACCACTGAGAAACTAGTCATTTTAAACCAAAGTAAAACATACGAATGGCCCTTAATTCTTTTGAAGCGTTAACCTCGAGCTGGAAGCTCGGATTTTTGCTCACATGCAAACTGAATTAAATGATCGAATATAACCTAGATAGGGCTCTAGCGTGATCTTAGCGCCATGTCATGTAGCATCAGATGCCAGAAAATTAAAGAAAAAACTTTGAAAGAAGGAAAGATAAATGATAAATAGAAACCGTTACCTACCTGCTTCGCAGTTACTTCCTGTGTATCCTTCCGTGCAAACACACACGTAACTGTTGCTCTCGTTATTTGAACGGCAGGTGCCTTTGTTTTGACAAGGCCTGTTTAAGCACGGAGACTAAAGACAAAAAATTAGGAAAGCGAAGGAGTTCTAGATTGCGATATGCTTGTGTTACCCTGACATACCAAAAGATTTAAAATAGTTTATGGTTATTTACCAAAGCTTAGGTGGCCAGTGGTGGATATTTACTGGGCCGCGAAGCCGCGTAGCAAATGTTCACACTTTCATCAACACTGAGGTAAATGATTGTTTTGTCATACACCACTCCAATATCAAAAAATGATTAATTAGCTCTCAGTGCTAAGAAACATGGGCGTAAATTTCACCTTTATGTGCGATTTTGACATGCTAACTCAGCACTTTCTTTCGATAAATTCCGTATCAGTCAAGAACATTAATATTTTAGTTAATTGAAGCTTTGGCTGTTCAAAATTCACCATATTGATTGTGAAATTCAGCTACCTCATACACGTTGGTCAAAGATGTAATTCTCAAACATTGTCGCCGCTTTTCATGAAAGAGCCTGTGATAAGACAAATAGTCTGGAAGTATCGCCGTTTAATTACCAAGTTGTTCATAACTGATTCATTTAAAACCAGAGCATTTTTCTCTCCTTCGTCACATTCATCATATCTGTATATTGTACGAGGTGCAACTACCACCGCAACATGCGTAAACCGACATATTCTGATACAAAAGAAAATGCCAAAATAAAAGCTGATTCAAAAGGGGGTTTAAATGAGAGTTATCCCAACGCA